CATCAAATTAAATACTATATAGTCTGATAAAAAATTATAAAAAATACTTGCTATTTATTAGTAATAAATAGCAAAGCAATTTTATTTAGTTTACATTTTCAAAACTTATTACGAGAAATAAATATCTCGTAGATATCAGAAAAGCGGGTAAGTCTATTTATCCAACGTTTAGCTTTATTGAGGAGAATATCTTGATTGCGCGTTGATATTCAAAGCTTGGTAGTGAGAGGAGGGGTGCCGTAAAGGTGTATTGTAGCCTCAGGACCACTGTAATGAAAGAGCTGCACTATTAGGGATAAGAGCTTATATTTCTCAGAATCGATGCGGTCAGCGTCGCCTGTAATTGCATCCGGCCTCACCCTCCAAATAGCAATAGAATGCTTGCATACCATCACCGACGTTTTAGGTACACGGCTTCAATTTCATTCAAATTGAAAACGAGACTCTAATGACAGGGTGCAATCCAAGAGGAAGTTAGTTACAAGGGACGTTAGCAGCTTGTTTTAGTCCATGTATAAAAGTTTGCGCCAAGACGCTCTCGACTGACCACGAATGAGGAACAACGAACGATCTTGGGCCCGCTTAAATTAGTATTTGCAACACTTAATAAGTCACAAGTTACCGCGGATTCTCTAATTTTTTAACAAAAAAGTTCATGGTGCCTTGGAAAGAATTTTACATTCTGTTTTGTTAAGTCAAAGTTATTTACAAGTTATTTAATATTTCATCCTTCCCTTCTTTTCCATATTTTTCAGTGTAAAAGTATAATTAAATCGTTCCTAATTATAATTTTCTCTCGATCGAAATTTTTAACTTTTCATATAATTAATTTCATATTAGGAAGAAGTGAAACGATTTTGGTTTTTAACATTCATTTCGATATTATGTATACTAACATTATAAAGAGAAATTATTTGTGTTTTCGTATGTTTTTAACCAATAAACTCAAAAACTACTGAACCCTTTTTAAAAAATTCTTTCGCTATTAGAATGCTACATTAGTCCTGAGTGACATACATTAATTACTAAAAAAAATTAGGGATGCCTATTAACACTTCAATAATGTAACTCAAGGTGTAAAAAATTAATGTCCACCAGTTTGAAGCTGAGACGAGTCGCTGGTCTGATAATATCGCAGATATGAAAGCTGAAAAGAAAATACGCTGCAAGTATATTAAGTTTAGCACCGACTACAACCTATTCGGGATTTCCCTGTAAAGCCGTTCTCAATAGATGGCGTCGGGTAATAAGCTCAGCGATGGGCTATTACGAGGCTACGAGAGAAATTCGTAGCGTAGAGCAGCCTACAGGGTATCAGTTTTGCGCAACTTTTATGGTGCAGCCACTAGATTGGAGCGTGCGAGCCGGTTACAATCACAATCGATTAGGTATGGTCCGACCCTGCCCGCCTGCAAATTGCAACAATTGTTCGGCGTCCCGTTGCCCTCTCTAAATCCAACAATTTCAGGTGAAATATTGAAATACCAAATTTTATTTTGTTTTCGTGATAAGTTCACATACTCATGTTAAGTGAGTGTTATATTTTAAAATTATATTTTTGTAGACATAGACATAAACTTTATTTTGACAACCAACAAACAGCACAAAAAATTCAAAAAATAAATGACATGAACATAACATATTGATAAATAAAAACATAACGTCGTTTCAACAAAAAAAGCAAGTTAAAAAAAGGAAAACAAAATAAGTACACAAAGTTACAAACATAAAAATTATTAATAAAGAAACAAAAAGACATATAGAAACCTTTGAAGGAAAAAAAATCATAGTGTATATGTAATAAGGAATGAATTGTGCTGTGAGTTTATGTCAAAAATGGTCTCCACTCAGCAAAAAATACGGAGAGTTCCGCAATGCTGGTATTCTATGGAGATTTTTCGATGCTAGGAATGTGAGGAATGTGCGGGTAGATGCGCAAACTTGTGAAAATATTACCAGAATAAAATAAAATAATAAAAATAAAAATAAAACAATAATAAAAAAATAAATTGTGCAACACTGTTAGAATTTCTGGCAATTATTGACCAACAGAAAGAAAGCAATGCAAGTAAAAATTATTAGCAATAGTATTGATTAAAAAAAAAAAAGACAAACAAACAAAAGGACTTTATATACACATAAATACATTATGTTAGTGCCACGGGGGCTATTAGGGACGCATTAGACATTTTGCGTTAAGTATGTGGGTAATACTCGTCTAGAAGCTGGTAAGCATTTTTGGAAAGACAAAAGATGTTGTTTCAATTTGAATTTAAAATAACTTAAACTTTTTATAACCCTTATAAGCAGTGGTATATTGTTCCAGCATTTAGACGCGGCGTACTTAAAACTTCCTCTTAAAGAAGCTGAGCGGTGTTTTGGGATCCTAAGTATCATCTTTTTAGTTGCCCTAAATCGATCAGTTGACAACCAATCAAGTTTTTGAAAAAGATACTTAGGTCGGCCAGTTTTGATAATCCCAAATAATAGGGTTGCCAAATGAAGTTCCCTACGCAAAGTCATTTTAAGTACATTAAAATTATTTATGTAAGGAGTGACGTGTGTACGTGGTGGAATTTTAAAGCAAAAGCGCACACATGCATTCTGAACTCGCTGAATAAGTCGTTCTGTACCCGCTAATATTAGAGGGCCGTATACAGTATCAGCATAGTTTAGTCTTGACAATATGAGGGAATCGCACAGTTTAACACGTAGGCTGACACTAAGGTAATCACGTATGCGATAAAGAACTTTTAATCTATAAAAACAGTTACGTACAAAATCAAGTACGTGACCCTCGAAACGCAGATCAGTATCCATCTTGATCCCCAAATTACGCGCTTCAGTAACCCTTTCAATTAAATTTCCATCAATTTTTACTTGGGGATCATGTGTTAAGATGTTAGTTATTTGCATTTTACTACCAAGTACCATCCATTTGCATTTTACAGGGTTTAAAACTAACGCATTTTTAACAGACCATTCGCTTATTCGGCTGAGATCTTCATTCAGTTTCTGTGTAGACAGGTTAGTATGTTCCGCTTTTGTGCTAATGTATAATTGTAGGTCATCAGCGTATATTTGCAACTTACAATGTTCTACTGTATTAATTACATCAGAGGTATATAAAATAAATAAAATAGGACCTAGAATTGATCCCTGCGGAACACCTCTCTCGATGATGGAATGAGATGACCTTAAAATTGAGCCATCCATGTTACGTAGTTCAACGAATTGGGACCGACAAGTAAGGTAACTAGTAAACCATTTAATAGCTGTTATGTCAAAGCCAAAATAAGACATTTTAGAAAGAAGAAGTGAGGTATTTATTGTGTCGAAAGCACGCGAATAATCCAAAAGGGTGAGTATTGCCCTCTCCTACATCACTCGATGATAAGATGTCATCCACAACATCAATCAATGCAGTGGTTGTGCTATGCTGTGAACGAAAACCCGATTGCACCGCAGGGAGTATGTTATTATTTTCAAGGTAAGATGTAAGCTGAGCGCAAATTACTTTTTCCATTACCTTTGATAAAAAGGGTAGTATACTTATCGGCCTCAAATCTTTGGTATCAATAGCATCAACCTTTTTAGGTATTGGGCGTACTATTGTAGTCTTCCAGGCACGGAAACGTATTAGTTTCAATGGATTTGTTAATTATCCCTGTGATAACCCCAAGTGTACGTGGAAGAGTGAGTTGAATCATATGTGATGAAATTTTGTCTACTCCTATAGCATTTGACTTTATTGACGTAATACATTTGAAAATTAAATCTTGATCCACCGTTTTAAAAGTTAATGTTGAACCACCAAATCGATTAAATTCGTAAAACGTTAGATCGGACAAGGATATTTGATTTTGCCCCGGAACATCAAGAAAGTGTTGATTTATAAGTTCGGGATTATTAAAGTGCAGCGGCAACTCATTTTTATATTTTGAGCTGAACAGAACAGCTTTTTTAATATTTGTCCACAAAGCCTTAGAGTCCTTACAATTTGCATTTACACAATGATTGAAAAATTATCTCTTTTCATTGCATAGAGCCGACGATACTGCCCTTTTTAAGTCTTTGTAATAAGTTTTATGGGATTCCTTTTTAGAAACCTTATAACGCGCGTATGCTCTATCTCTTGTATGCATCATGTGCCTTAATGTAGGCGTAATCCAAGGTGGTGATTTGTTCTTTACATGTACTAGTTTATTGGGCGCATGACGATCGAACAGCATAAGAACATAAGCATTGAAAGTTTCAATCATGTCATTGACATCCTTCAAATTTAGTATACGTTCCCACTCAACAGCATCCACATCTCGTTTTATTGCATCTAAGGAGATATCTTTAAGAGGACGATAAAGGACACAAAGGGAACATGCTTTGGCACGCTTAATTTTAAACTCGCTAACAACAAAGGCATCGCTACTGAGTTCAGGTATAAAGTCAACCTGTATATTCTTCACAGGGGCATCCGTACAAACAAGATCGATTAGTGTTTCACTATGTTGTGTAAAATGAGTTGGCACCGTCACATGCTGCTTCAAGCTAAGGTAGTGTAAGAAATTGTTCAGCTTGATATTATCAGTATTACTAGCGTTTAATACGTTTATATTAAAATCGCCCATTAAAATCACGTGATCGTAAAGGGAGAATGATGCAATGGATTCAGTTAAAGCATCTAAGAATGTATCGATGTTTAGCCACGGAGGACGATATGCAGTACCAATAACGAGCGTGATACCCTTCATTTTCATGTTGAGCCACATCTGTTCAACGGGTGATGTACATGTGGATGGGTGAGGAACAGTCCGCACCGTAATACCGCGTCTAATGTAGAAACCAACCCTACCACCTCTGGTGCGTACATTTCGAGGTCAAGGGATATGCCGTAGTCCGTAACCAGGTACGATAAAAATGTACAAGAGTTTGTACCATTTTACTTTAATTGTTTTTGGTGTCATCGAGCGATCTAACGTTAATTGTGCTAAAAACACGACTCAAGTCAGCAGCGGTTCGAATTCGATGACGTGGGGAATCTCCATCCTGCCGTTGCCGCACATATATTCTGCCATCTTTGGTCCAAACAAACCTCCAGTGGGAACGCTGAGCATTTTCACGGGCCTGCCGGAACAGCTGTCTATTTTGATTTTCGTTAACCTTTCGTTGACATAGAACCGGCGAGATGGGCCAGGGACGCCAACGCCTTCGGTAGTAGCTCCTCTCCGTACGCGCGCCGCTTGCAGTAATTGGTCGCGCAGCGCGCGTCGCGCTAAGCGCACCACGATAAGACGAGGGCGAATGGTTGGACTAACCTCTATAACGGATTCAGGAGAACGGCCCAAGCGTTCACAGCTGACAACGTCCGTCTCTGATAAACTCACCCCCAACTTATTAGCTAATGATATGACTATATGCAGGGGATTTTCGCCTTTTTGTTCTGGCACACAGGAAAATTGTATATCATTCATCAGAAGTTCCTGGTCTCTCTCGTTAATTCCCGCCTTCAATTGTTCGATAACCGATAACAAGGAGCTATCCGACTTCTCGTCTATTAAACGCTCTTGTTCGTTCATACGAGCGCATAGCGAGTCAATGCGGTTCTCACAGGTTTCCACACGTTCAGAGAGCTTTGACATATTGCTATTTAAAAGCACCAGCTGTTCTCGGGTGGCACGCATCTCTTCACGGAACAAACGTACCTCTGTGATAAGAGTTTGTAAGTCTCCTGTTATCAGTGATGGTGACTCATCTGAGAATGGGGAAATTTCGGCACTTGACCCAGATGCAACGCGTCGGTCATTCGACACGGAGGCTGAACTCTGCACCGCAGTATTTTTATTAGTGTTTTTTTTACTCTTACACGACATGCACTTCCATAATAATTTGTGATCTTTTGTCATTACGTTCATATATCGGCTTTCTGATACATTTGCACAAATAAGATCATACATCTGTTCACAAACGCTACAACGCAAACACTGTTTGCTTTCAATTACTTTCAAACAAGCAGCACATTTCAATTTATAAGACGACATTTTTGGTAGTTTCTTCAATCAATGGACAAAAAAGAAAGAAAAAAAAGTAACGAAATAAAAGAACAAATTAAAACAAAAAAAAATTCTTTTATAAATGTCGGGATTTGAACCACCGTGCGGTTTCTACGTATTGTCCACTTCGAGATAGCCACAAGACCGAACGATTAAATGTCGACACTCGAGGGTATATTAAACTAACACTAAGAATGTTTAAAAAACTTATCTTTGTTGTGTTCACTTTATGTTCAGTTTTATCACATAGTATGTGGAGCACTATAACGAGTTTGTTTCTACAAAACCACTGATATATAATTTTGGCATAAAAAGTAACTTTGACCTTTAAAAAGCTTTTTTATCAACGGAGAGAACTTTGACATGACCCGCACCGTATCATGCACCGTATCGCAAGGTTCAAATTTTCTCATATTATTTTCTCATATTCTTGTAGTGTTATATTTTAAAATTATATTTTCTCATATTATATTTTCTGATATTATTACAAAAAACTGTTTTATTTATTATATCTATAAAATATGACTTTTATATTGAAAAGTCATATTTTTTCTATTCATATCTTTGTGTGGTGGAAGAGGAGGAGGCTTTAAATCAACACGTTTTTCTTCAGAAGGATTAATGGCCAAGTGCTAATGGTATAATGTTATTTGAAGGTGTTGGTTAGTGACGACGGATCTTTTTTCTAATCTTACTGCTTTCAAATTTTCCGATGGAGCACTTAAGTTGGTTATGTGCCCTTAGCTATTGTTAAACCGTATGTAGGCGCACCTTTTATGAAAAAATAAGTGAATTTTTATATATACGAGTACGTACATTTTCTAGGAAATCTTTTTGTAATACTTTAGGTATATGCTATAAAATCAACCTACTAACTAAGAAGGGTTTTAATTATAATAAGTACCATTTTAATAACAAAACACTAAAGCCACTTCAAATATCTAACTCACTATACATATTTCTATTTGATTTTGAGGACTCCCCGTATGTCCCCCGTAAGTCCAAATTGGACTTTGGAGATAATTTAGGGAATCAATGAAGTTAATACAGGATCACATGGGAGCCCACTCACTATAAAAAATAATAATTTATGAAATCGGTTCATAAACGACGGAGGATTGAGGTCCAGAGAGAGAAGGACAAAAAAGCATACAACCAAATTGAGAAAATCCTCTCTTTAGGGTTCCGTACCCAATCAATGAATGAATGAAGTATACTTTATTGTACACAAACAACGAATATTGAATAATCAACAAAAATAATACAAAACTGTACGATAGGCGGCCTTATTGCTAAAAAGCGATTCCTTCCAGGCAACCTAGTAAACGGAGATAGAAAGAGCAGTAGCATCGGGTAACGGTGTACACAGAATTGATAACAGAAACTAATAAGTCAAAATATAAATACATAATAATAAATTATACATAAATACACCCAATATATTAAAAAATAAAAAATGATATTTATCTATCTATTATGTCTATTTGTCACCAGGCTGCATCACATGAACCGTGATAGACCGTTGATATTTTCATAGATGAAGTATTTCTGTTACCGCCTAAATAACAAATCATAAAAAACAGAATAAAAAAATATTTAAGTGGGGCTCCCACACAACAGATATGAGTTTTTTGCCGTTTTTATAGGTAATGGCACGGAACCCTTCGTGCGCGAAAACGACTCGCACTTGGCCGGTTCTTTTTTGAAGACGGTTTTTATATGTATTCAATAGTTTATAGTCAAGTATTATCACAAAAGGAAATTTATTTAGTTGAGATGAGCAAATTTATTTGTAGCTGCCCATTCAAGTTTGTTTTGGTTGAATGTATTTTGGTTGATTAGATGCTTCAATCGAATGCAAATCAGTCCGTCCTTTGGTCTGTTATGACATCGAAAATGTGGCTTTACGCAGAGCAACTATTTCTATTAATCAGAATCAAACATTATTCAACGTCAGAGCTCATCAACGTAACGGAGGAAATTACAATGTGTTTCCCAACTGAAGCTCGCTTCCGATTGTCCGATAAACGCTGTTTCGTTGTCGCATTGGAAATTTATGAAACCGGTCAAAAATAAACTGTTTAACCTATTTGTCTGTACAAAGTTTCCATTTATTAACAAGTTGGCATAATTGCTAACCTGAGGGCTTTAGCGACGCGACTTGTTGCGGATCTGGCTGTTCAAATCATAAAGTTTATTTATGTTAAACTTTATTACAATATTGTCCATATTGTCCCACAGTAAGATCAACAAAAAAGAAAGATGAAATTGTGTAACCTAAGCTAATTAACAATTTCATTGTAATTATACACTGTAAATATGATCATATTGTAACACATGCCATTATTAAAACGTTTCAATTTCTTTGTGAAGTTTCGAATGTGTTCTCATTTTTATTTTCTAAAGCTTATACAGATATCTGAATTTTTAGTCGCTGATTGTCTTGCGAATATAAAAGCTTGTGAAAGTCTTGTATATCACATGCGTGATAACTGGAATTATTAACATAGTAAAATTGAATTAGTGTAATAAATGTTGTCAACGCCTCGTCAGCTTAAAATGAGACGGCGGAGATTGTTATAATATCGCTGTGTTTAATTGAATAAGGCTCGCTTAGATTTTACGACACGACGAGAGAAAGCCAAGGCGTTAATCTCCTAGGTAAAATCAATTGCCAAAAATTATATTTGCCGTCGCGGGGCGTTCGATATGAAGCTCTGATGAAAGGGTTTAAGTTCGGAATTCGCGTGTTTTCATTGCGTGGAAGGAGAGCCATATCAAAGTAAATTATTTCCTCGTTTAGCATCATTTATGAAAGTGCACATCTCAGAGTTGCTGTCGCGTGCTGGTTGTGCGTTCTATGCAGCTATGGTACGGTTTATTTTGCAATGATTACGCTGGCCGCAGTGTTTTTATTGAGAAATTTATGGAGCAGCGTTTAAGAACGTTACCGCGCGCCTCTTCCGCGTCGTTGTGAAGTCATCTCGCTGTCCCTTTATTGCTTGCTTGAAATTAATGTCTCGACCTCACAAGGCAGGATTTTCTACTTTGTGGGAGCGTTTATCTGATTTTATTACGTAAATATTTTACAAGCGAATGAAACAGATAGGCATTGTGAAAATATGACAGACGATGAACGAGCTAACTATTTTCTGTAGGTTTGCCGGTAAACAGAATCCATACTTTGCGGCAGCAGAGTAAGATGATCATTAAAATTTGTTTGGAGGCCAAATAAAGATTGGGAACTTCATGCGGTACTAACATCGATAAAATAAATAAAACTTTGAACAACTGTTTTTCATGAGAATCTTATTTGTAGGGTACGGTAAGTGAATCGTTATGTTCAAAGTATAAATCTTATTCAAACCTTGTAAGATTACAATATATATTTACAAGATTACAATTACATATTTCTCAGATATGTAGATACATATAAGAGAAATATCATGTGAAATACATATATATATATATATATATACATATATAACATAGCTTACGGGTGAAGGATATTTATTAAGCATTGCGTATGTAGCGTAATTCGAATGTGATTTAGATTTTAGAACATCAATCCTTTCTTCGAGCAAGCACTTAGATATGGGGGTGAACATTAAATACAAACACGTCGTGTTAACATTTCGTTCAGGTTGCCACTTCGTGCACGGTTTGGGCACAGCAGTGTCGGTTGGAGCGCGTGTAATTTCCAGATTAGTTTGTTCAGCAAGCGAGCCGCTGGGCTGCTGCAAATATGTGACCAATAATATCACGTTGCTCATGTTTATGATTGCCGAGGCTATCTTTAATACTATTTTACGCTTTCCCTCATTGGAATATAAAAAATATTTATATAAATGAAACAATAAACATAGCATACTAATAACCGGTCTTTGAACATATTTAAAACTTAATGTTTCTTTGAATGAACAAATTTCAGAAAAAGGGGCAACTATTTTCGTGTTCTTCTTTACTATCTTCGATTATTAATAAAATATTTTTGGTTATTTAAGTAAAAAAAGTTTCACAAGCTTAGCACGTCTTTTTTATTCAGCTTTTTGAAATTTTAACAATCTGTATATCGAAACAATAATAAGGTTTCGTGACAAAGAGATTGGGATTTGAATTTATTTCTATTGTTCAGATAGTGTCAGGATTTGAGATCGTATTGAAAATAGATAACTTAAGTAGGTATTTTGCTCCAATTTGCATTGTAGGCATTATTTACAATCATGAGTGTCAACAGATTAACGATATGCAAATCTACGTGGGCGCGGCTAGAGAATCATTATCAAAGGGAATTGCTTAAGCGGCGATAATTCCTTTCAGATATACGTTACTAATACATTTATAATGGATGATGACGCATGAAATTAAAAAGGTGATGATCCTATTAATCCATCAACAGCGCGTGCTGTATGCAGTCCATCATGCAGATTATTTGACATTGGGATACGTGTTAGTGTTTGCTCAATTTTGGAGGATTTCACGCGCGATCAATGCGCTTCGCTGTTGGATTGAATCCTATACGTATCGAAACTGAACACTGATTGATTGATGATTTATCAAATGCACACCAGTGAAAATAAAAAGAAATAATGACTTTCATTTAGTTAATAAATGAAACTAGTTTACGGATT